ATGACTGTCTGCTGCATCCCCTTTTTACCACCATTCATGGATGTTCCCAAGTCAAAACTCATGCAGAGCAATGGCTTCTGTGCYGCGCACAATAAGTCAGGTGATGTCCAATGGTAAAAACTGTAATAATTTAAATACCACAGAAAAATATTTACAATAAGAGAGATAAAATGTCCTTACAGGCTGCTGTTGTTGATACATTCCTGGCTGTTGATTAGGGTACGGGCCACCAGGGGGRGCTCCTTGGCCAGGATACTGATTTGTGTAAGACTCGTGCCTGAAAACATGTTCATACATTACATTTCTTCCTCTCAGTTTACAAGCTGTACTGATACGAAGCTGACAGAATAATCRTGCTGTAGTCACACAATCTAAATCCTCTTCATACGGCCGTCCCTGATCTGAGGCTGACGACTACTGACCGTTGCTGTGGAGGACGGCTGGGTGAGTACATCCCTGTGTCAGCACCAGACGGCATCATGTTGGGCTGAGAAGCTCCAGGTCCAATGGTGCCTTCAGGGCCCATGCCTGATTCCTGTCTGTAGAACCAACCAACAGCACTGTGATGAAAGACACCTGGACTACCTGTGCACAGCCCACATCCACTCAGAGAAAAGTTTACCTTCGCTCATATCCATATGGGTACTGTTGTCTCTGGCTCATAGGCATGTTGCCCATTGGGCCCGGTGGTCCTCTGTTATACTGTTCCCCCATTCCACTGTTTGGACCAGGTGACATAAACTGTTCTCCAACTTTAAAAGACCAAACAAGACCAGTTAACCACAGCACAGACTCCTCCCACATTAAAACAGACTCATACAACACCCACCTTTCCTCATTCCTCCAAACGGGTCCTTGTTTGACTCGTAGGGACCCATTCGACTCATCATCTCTGAGCCCCCTATCCCAGGCTGGTAGCCTTGAGAGTTGGGCGTCATGGCGTTCCTTCTGGAAAATGCCGGGTCACTGCCGTCAGCAAAAGGGTCCTGRAAGTTAACACTGCTCCTGTGGAACGACACGGGGCTCGTTAGTAAAAATTATCCTGATTCGATCTAAAGACTTCCACAATTTCCAGTCCTAAACTTCGGCTTTAATTTTGTCTCATGCTTTTACTGAGCAGGTCAGAATACCTGCACAGTTCAAGGAAAAGGCATCCCTTTTCAAAGCAGAGCTGTATTCTTTACCTATGTGTTATTTTCTACTAAGTTTTTAACAAAAACACAGCAGTCGGACTCAGCACTCCATTTTTAGCTAAAGATGATCTTCCCTTCTTAAAAACACAGTTCAGTGTGTATTTTACCAGCATGTATGTTTACATGACTAACACACAGCTTCACTGCYACGACAGGCTGTGTTTCACATCTTACCTGACGCTGGGCATTGGAGGCATCTGTGAGTGTGGGGTGGAGGCTGGAGTGGGGGGCTTCAGGTCTCCCCCTTCAGCCATGGAGCTGGAAGTAGACTGGGGAGTTTGTGGTCCTTGAAGGGACCCTGAACCAGCTGCAGAACAGATAAAACATTGAGTACTTCAGTTTCCTCACGTCTTCACTGCAGGAGAAAAACACCTGAACACAAACTGGTTTTAAGGAATCCTGAATCATCACTGGTGTAATGCTTCAGCTTGTCTTTCTACCTACAGTAAATATTTCATAAAGCACACAATAGATTCGATGGTGACTTTTAATAAGAATTTAATGCACATCTACAGCTGATTACTTTTTCAACACAATCTGATTCAAGATGGCTGCCAGTGAATAAAAATGGTTTTAACTTGGTAAATATATAGATATTCAGGTAACATTTGGTGTCTTAGGCTACTTTCACACTGCAGGTCTCAATGCTCAATTCCCATCATTTTTTTCTCAAAAGTCCCATTTTGTTGTGTTGTTGTTTTAAATTTAAAATGTTGTTGTTTCAAATTTAAAATGTTG